TTATTCTCAACTGAAGGCTCCGAGTCTGCTAAGGTTTCAATTGCAGCAGATGTGATATACTTAAGGATGTCAACATCAATGTGCTCAATTGAGAACTTCGATTGTATCTACATCTGGGAATATTATGTTGTTTAAGATATTAACAATAATGTTCTCAAATTGTGGACTCCAGTTTCTTAAATGTTATAAAATATTATACCTAATTGTTTCATGAGAACATTTCTATGTTTCTTATTATTATTATTACTGTTAGGGGATGTGCCACTGCGACCGTCGAGTCTATTGTGCTCCCTTCCAGGCTTAGAATAGGTCTCTAAGCCCTGTTGCATTAATAAAAAGTAGTATAAAACCTTCCATAAGAATATACATTCCCAGAAGCCTATTCCGTATATACATTACCGCAGTGCATTCTTACAGCTCGTGTGTGACCGACTCCTTATTCACTTCACAGAATCTACAGTTTGCATCCGTATGTATACCTAGTTTTGTAAGGTGGAATTCTATGTTTATATATACTTATATATAATAAACCCAAATGAACAAAGTTTACATAACACATTACACATTATTCAACAGTGCGGAAATAAAGTACTGAATAGACCACATAATAATTCTTGAAGGTTTTCTGATCCTTTGAATAATTGAATGAATGTAAACCAACAAAGTATAATTTACTTTAATGACTTCATAGCTATAGAAATTAATAAATTGGAGTTGTTAAGTTAAAATAATAAATTAAGTATTATCCTTCGATCTTTAGTGCTTCTTCCAACTCACCCGATTTATCAGTACAGATGAATAAGTAAACTGGTACATTGTAAAAAAAAAAATTTGCTCATTAAACTAAAGACATTTGGTTTATTTTATTTAATCTTTTTTTTTTTGATTTATTTTTTTTTTGTTGTTGTTGTTGCTTGTAATGCCAACAACTTGAACAAAGCAAATAAATTGCATCGATAATTACTGCACAGTTTCTATTTAGTAAATTCGCCAAACAATTTTCGATTTCGCTTTTCCTCTCGTAGCAGCGCTTTTTGCACTTTACACTGGCCTGGCAATGCCTTAGAAATTCCTTACATCCAACGAAACAATTTAGTATTGTTTTTGTTGCTGTTGTTGTTGTTGGTGTCGATTTGCTATTCTTGCATTTGAAGTTGCTATTGGTGTTTTGTTGTTTTTGTTGTTGTTGTTATTGTTGTAGTTGTATTTGTAGTTGTTTTAGAGTTTATCGTTTGTGTAATTCCTGGTTCATTGCTTTTAGCTAGTTTATAACTCACAAATAAATTTCATCCTTTTTGTTGTTTATTTGTTTTTTATTCTTATTTTCGTGGGGGCTTGTTGCTGGCTTAGCGAATTTCTAAGATCTTTTTGGCCTCATGGAAATACGAGCACCAATTTTACTATCAATTTAAGATATGTTTGAGAAAATTAAACAACAAAAACAAAGCAAAAAAAAAACTTTACCAAATCGCAGCCGCCTTTTAGTGTTGGTAAAAAGTTAAAGGATTTATTTTTATATTAAATTAATGTTGTTATCTTAAAACTCCATTAGAAAAACAAGAAAATGAGAAGCTGTCGCAGCAGCTGCTATCAGTGGCGAGTACTTAAATATATATAAGTAGAAAGAAATATATTCACATGTATATAAATTATTTATTTTTATTTTATTTTTAATTTTTTGTGTTTGCGTTTGTTTTTGTTTTTGTTTTTGTTAATGACAACAAAAATACTTTAGAAAGCTAACAAAATTCCAAAAGGAATACATCTTCGCAAAAACTCATCAGCCAACGAACTTCGGCTTCTATGGATCCCCACTTGAGTTCGATAATTTGGTTTGGGAAGAGAGACCATTTTAATATTCTTTCCATTACCTTAAGTTTTATTTTGTGTTACTTTTATTTGCTTGTAGCGATATTGTCGAAGTCAATGCCACATTTTTAAATTCACTTTAACGAACTAGTTTGGCCACTTCATGTAGCATTTGCTAACTTTTTTATCTCATATATACAAGTATATTTTTTTCACTGGAATATTTCTTACGAGTATCCTTTTATGCAGACAACAATCTTCGAAATGTACACAACGACTTCGGGAATATGCGAAGATAAATTAAAACTTAAATGGCGTTCCACTTGTAGAATGATTTCTCGTTTGTGATTTATTCACAACAAATGTTTTTAAATTAAAATGAAATATATTGCAGAATATAAGAATTACAATAGCAAGTTGATAATTTTAATAAAAATTATTCAAGTTCAAAAATCTCACCACCTTTATACAACATCTCTCATCTCTTAAAACTTCCCTTAAGGGCGCTTTACCCATCATACATATAATATTTCAGACAATTTGTTGATGTTTATTGTCAATGTTTGTTGATTCCATTATTACAAACTAATCCAGACAACCAGCATTTTATGTTATTTAATGTCAGCTTTATATATTAAACCCCAATATTTACACACTTCTACTATTAATATATTCTGTTAGATTCTGCTCACATTAGCTCTTATTTTTCTAATATACATCAGACAATATTTGTAGATAATAAACGTAATGTCTCGATAGAAATTGACAGGGCATGCCACGTCAGTATACGGCAGCGAGTTTAATTCAAGTCCATGATCATCATGAGACTCTAACTGCCGAGAAAGTTTTAAAAGCCGCACAGTACTTCATCATTGAAGTGCTCAAAGTGTTGGATTATTCACCTGTTAATCAGGAAGCCTGAACTGGATTTAGACCGTCGGGAGACAGGTTAGTTTTATCCTACTGATCGAGGTTTTGCCACAGTAATCTAGTTTAGTAATTTATGTACTTGATTTTGCATACAACATGTTTCATACTCATTGGTACTCATACACTTACAAAATTAAAAAAAAATATGTTTTAGAAACTAGAGGTAACTAAAGAGTGAAAGACATAAGTAAACTAATGCTCACTTTGAATTTTGTATTCATATCATGATAATGACAACATTCATCTCTTATAATCATTTTTATTCAGGCTGCGTTATGTATACATACAATATTTAGTAATATATAGGAAAGATGGGTGTGAGAAACTGGTGGTGTTTGGAGAGTGAAAAGCTCCAAAATAAGATAATGTGTACTTTGAGCTCTGGATTCCCAGATAATAAATAATATTTATCCCTTATACGTATTGCTATATAGGCTGTTTTCCTATTGATAAATTGATTTGGGTTGTAAGTACTCAAAATTTGAGCTTTAGATTCCCATTATGATAGTGATGATAAATAGCATTCATCTCTAACACTTTTTTCTATATACAAATTGAGTAGTATTGTGACTACTGCCTATATGTAAATGACTTATAAATAGACAGACATAAAAAACCGAAGATTATCGTGAAGTAAATGATTCTTTATTTAGTTTGAACTATAAGTTCATATCGGAGTAATGATAATAAACAATAAATTAAAAGTTTTTTAAAGTTGATATTGCTGATATATACACTGAAGTATTTTTTAATATTGTTTTTTTAGCGATTTGGTATTTAGCATAAATTCATCACAGCTATTTAATTAGAATCCTTATTGCTGCTAAAATAACTCTGTGTTGAAGTTAACTTTGTTACAGATTGAAGAATTGTCATATGTATGCTAATGTGTTAAAATCTATTAGTTAGTAATAGACTTAATAGTGAATTAAGAAAATGTGTCATTGTGAACACGTTTAAATATCTTGTAAAATAATAGTGCTGGGTAACTACACTAAAAGCATGAAATTCAAATAGGAAACAAATTCTGCAGAAAACCTTCGTAGCTATATTTTCCAAGTTGGAAATATATCTCCTGCTTTATTTACTGATAATGGTGGTTTTAAGAACAAAATGAAATTTGGAATTAAAAATAATTTAAAGATTGTTGAATCTTTCTCAATCAAGCAATTAATTATTTATTCAATTGTTGATTTCAACATATAACAAACTTAAAAATATATCACCTCTTTAATAAAATTACTAAAATTTCGGAACTATAAGTTATGATTCTAAATAGCAATACTGTAATTTCAGTCGGAGCTGAAAGCTTTTAACGATATGGCTCACTGTGCGATTATATATTCTTTAAAATCCTAAAAAAAATAAATAAATAAAAGAATGTTACCAAATAAAAAACTTAAAATGTAAGTAAACATTCCCTCAGTAATGAAAAAGGCAATAAAAATGCATCTTCTCGAAAATAAAGCATAAATGGGTAGAAATCTTTTCATTTCTGCCAGAAGATAAACGAAACGGAACCACTTTTTTCCGCCGCGCAACATTTCTCAGCTTATGCACCCTTTCACATTGAAAGAAAATACAAGAACACAACAAAAACATCAAGAAAAAACACAAAAAAAGGAGAAAAAAGCACAAGACGAAGAAAAATAACAACACAAACAACGACAACAACAACGAAGGAAAATAAAAAATTGCACATAAAATGCTTAACGAGCGAAAAGCACTTGCAAAATGTTTGAAAAAAAATATCTGAAAAAAAGTGCAACAACACAGCACAACATAACATAGAATTCGTGCAAACTTCTACTGAAGTTAGGCGACGCAAGTAAGGTTGTATGCAGCGCGACATGCTGAATGCAACAATGTAACGTAATGTAACGCAACGTAACGTGTTAACCAAAATAAATAGTTTAAAATAATCAAAAAAAAAAAAAAACAAAAGAGGAAAAAAACATTTGGAAAAAATTAATAGAAATGCGAACCTGCAACAGTTCAACCGCCAGTGTTGCTGTAATTTAGCTTATGTTGCTAATGTTGTTAGTGCTGTTGATGTTGTTAGAGTTGTTGTTGGTGTTACTGTTGTTGCGTTACATTTTTGTTATTGTATTTTAATGTAATTTTTTAATACCACAACTGGCTAAGGAATCCATTCAAGCTATTCAAGCTGCTGCATGCGTATTTCTAGTTGATGCACTTCTTCCTCAACGACGCTGAAGCAGTTCATATGCCGCTCACTGTTGTTAGGAATGGCTCGATGCTTAATGCTGCATGCCGTTTGCAGTATGCAGTATGCAATATGCGATATGCAGCATCTTCCAAATAAAGAAACCCAAAGCAAATTCTTCTTCTTTAACTGCTTCGTTGTTGTCGTTGTCGTTGCCGTCGTCATCATCATCAGCTTCAGCATCAGCATCGGTTGGTATCAACATCCATGTGTTGCTGATATTGCCGGTGCCACTGTTGTTGTTTTTGTTGTTCGCGTTAAAAGTTTATCTCTTTTTTTTTGTTGTAGATATTTTTTCGAAGCACATTTAATGATTTAAAATTCCATTTTAAGAATTTTATACTTAATGATGTGTTTCATGTTGTATACCATTTTTTTCGCAACATTTTCTATATCCTTTTCATTTTGTATATATACATATATATATAGCAACATATGTTCTTAACATATATTACGTATATATATCTAAATGTGTGCACTTGCATAAACTCGTAAAAATTCTAAAGTTTAAGGCATGGCGGTAGGTTCATACTTACGTTTGATGTATAAGCTCCGCAGTTGAAGTTATTCTCTTTTTATCAATATTTTTATTTTACTTTTAAATTGCTTTTTGTTGTTACAACATGCAGCATGAATTGTATGCGACTGTTTTTATTATAAATAATTCCACTTGAGCTGCTGCTGAGCTGCTTCTGAGCTGCTGCTGGTCCTGACCAATTTTAGAGACTGTCTATACACAAAAATACCTATATAAGCAAGCAAGAAGAAGGCATTTGGTAAACCAAATAATGTTCATATATGGACTTCAAAATGGCTGCTAAATATTTGGTGTGGATATGATAAAAAATGTCAACCTTAAACGAGTTTAGTTTTATTAAAAAGATGAAGAAGAAGAAGAAGGAATGGGAAATGCTGATAAATTAACAAGTTGATTTGCCGAAGGCACTTAAAAGTTGTTACATGATTGCAATTATTTTGTTTGGTGAATAGCAACACCAGCAACAACAACAACAACGACAACAATAAAAAATGCAATGCACCGATGTTTACAAAGACGATTTTCTGCTTTAATTAACGTTTACTTAAGAAAACTGCCCACAAGAATTTTATGCACTCAACTAATTTAATTTATGCAAAATATTGTTATTTAAATGAGTTCTCCTTTCTGTCATAAAACAGTCAAAACAGATGAAATTAAAAATTAATTGCTGTAAAATTTATTTGTCGCACTTAATTTTTTTAGTTTTTTAGAGAAAAAAAATTACAAATAAAATTTTAACAAGCGACCACCATTCTATATCGATTGCGGAACCAATAATTATAATGATGTATGATCCAAAAAATTATTCAAAAAACTATCTTAAAATATCCAAAAAAATTATTTGAGAAGTGATCCAATAAAAGATCCAAAAAATGATCCAAAAAATGATCCAAAAAATTATCCAAAAAAAGATCAAAAAATGATCTAAAAAGTGATCTTAAAAATGTTAAAAAGTCCAAAAGCTTATAGATATTATAAATGGAATAGATATGACTAATATCTTATGAGAAATACTTCTATCAAACGAATGAAGTAAGTTGGCTTTTAATAACAGTATAATTTCGCTTTATCAATGCTTTATCTTGTCAGAACAATGAGCAAAAATTATATGGAAATGAATTCATCAATATCTTATGGGACTAAAATTATCAAAATTTTGTGTGAATCATTATTTCTAATTGCCTAATAATAAAAGTGAAAGTTCGTATTACCAACATTATACCAGGGTTGTTTTAAACCTAAAATATGACATATTTCTTACTTATCTCTTAAACTCAAATAATGTGTCTTAAAATGAATGGATATAATGATATAATAAAAAACCTAGGATTTGATTTATTTCTTACATATAACTTGAATTTATATAGTATATCTTAGAATGAGTGGATGTGATAATACAGTAAAAACATGAAATTCACTATATTTCATACTTAAGTCTATCGTGAAATTGAACAACATTTCTAAACAATTTGGTAATCTAAACAACATTTTAAAGTCAAATTGATGTTTGTAGTGAATTTCACTTTGCAGTACAAAATTGTATTGCAATAAATCAGTGCATTCAGTAGTCAGCGTGAAATTTCAGTAACCAAAATATTTAGATTCTATGCTTTTCATATTTTATTGAAGACACATCACTCGCTGTTAAAAGTATCCCATGTCGCACTATCTCAGAGCAGGCTCAGTCTATACGCAGGCGACTGCTTGCATTCTTTAAAACAATAGATTGTTCTATTTTTTATGCGAACAAAACAGAGAAACTCGAAAAATTCGCACTGTAGATAGAGAATATTTTGCAAATTCTTCAGCTTTCACCTTATCTTAGTTGAAATGCGTATTTTACACAATTCGTTACGCTACTTCCTATTTTTGATTTATAGCAAAAGGACCTGTTGCATGATTTTGGAAAAGTCCAAAAGAACAAAAAAGAAGATATTTTTTAAAAATTCCATGTTTCATATTTTTGCATAATTTTGCGGTTTTGCTAATATTTGACCTGTTGTGATTGCACTAAATTAAAAAGTATACAGCTGCAGTGCACGCAACACAATAGAAGTAGCAACTGTCAATGCCGCTGACCTAAAAGTATCTAAGATCCGTATGTATCTAAGATAGTTTTTTTGTTTGTGTGTGAAATTTATGATTTATTGTCATATCCTTTTTGCACACTTTTGTTTTAAAAGGGAATGAAAAAATAAAAAAAATATTAGAAAGTTTTTTCCTATGAAATAGTGTACTCAATAGTCACACGTCAGTTGATATTTGAACGTGCTGCGCTGTTTTTCGTTGTTGCGACTCTGAATTTAATTCAAAAATTAAACTCATAATTTATATACAATTATTAAAATTCACATAATCGTACATAATGCAAAAGTATCATTATAACTATTTTGTTGGAAATCTACAAAATTATTACATTAAATATTTAATGGCGCCCAACGTGTTGCCATCGATAAGACTATTAATTCCTTTCTGCGCAATTTCATTGCAAATTTTAAAGCGAAATTCAATTATCACATAATAGTCACTCGCGTGTAAGTGCAGTGTCATATGACACTCGTTTATATCATTCTACATAATAAATGAATATTTCTCTCCTTGCGAAATGATACCTTCAAATTACACGAACGCACCACATCACACGGTAAGCCATAAGCGTACGTATGATATCCGTACTTCCAAAATGTTACTATGTTATTGTACGAGTAATTTTTCATACCTGAGTTCGATTTCAGTAGCGCCTGCTGGCACATCCAGGAGTTGTACGCATATATGGCCGTACCGGGGAGCTTGAGCTTGACAACATTAACAGAAAGTCATAAAAGCATTAAAGTCCATTTTTATGTGACAAAAGTGCGGGATTAAATTATTACAATAATTTTTCGCTTCAGTCAGTATCTGTAGCTGGCGGTGTATACAATTGCAATACAATAAAATCAAATTTACAGAGGCGTACGCTTAAGTTTTTACTAATGTAAGGAGATTCCTATAATATTATATTAAAAAATTTTTAATAATATTTTTTCAAAAATTATTCGAACTAAAAAATTTAAAAATTAAATCAATTTGAATAGTTCCGCTAATCAGAAATGAATATCTTAATGCTAAGAACAGGATATACACTGATATATAACAAAATAATTCGTCCGTAATTTCTATATGGTTATGTAGCGTTTAGCAACGCTTCTAACACTACTATTCACCAGCTAGAAATTGCACAAAGCCAGGCTCTGAGAAGGCTGTTCAAAGTTCCATGGTACATTAGGTTGAATGACACCTCAGGAACATCAAGATTGATCCCATCAAAAAATACATAAAATATAGAGCCCTGAAATTATTTACGAAAACTGACAGACTTACCAACACCGCGTTATCAAATCTCAAAATGGTTACAGGCTCCTCGCAGAGGTATGCAGATCTGAGGTCAATTATTGCTCAGTCTGATGAAGTGATAAAAAATAATCTAGTCAAGGTGTAGAAAGGGGTTTTGAAGAAACCTCGAGTTAAAAAAGAGTATAAGTGCTTAAGTGCTATAGCTCAAAACAGCTTCAACATAATATAATATATATAAAATATATGAATATATAAAATGTGAATATATATATGTAAAAAATTAATTACTAAACTTTTATAAAAGTTATCAAGAATATATAATATATGCTTTTTGTCTACGCTACTGTCTTTTCATTTACTGCCAAAATGCATAAAAAATACAAGATATTTACATTTTACAATTTCACAATTTTATATACAGAAGAACATAAAATTGCAATTATTATGCAGTGATTTTAATGCAATATATAAAAAAGTGCATGAAGTAAAAATTATTTTTTTCATTAAATTTTTATTTATGCATATTAAAATGCTCGGCTAGTGTTTCATGTAAAGTTCATTACTAAAATTACTTTAAATCAAAAATATTGAAAAATATATTCATATACGTAAAATGCAAAAAAAAAAAAAATAAATGAAATTGGAATAAATTATATATAAAATAATTAATCCTGTATAAAGAAAGAACATACGCAAAAATTTGGCTTTGATTGTTTATGGTAAAAATATTTGTTTAACTTGCAACTTATAATTAAATATAATATGTATATATGTCGTAAATTGTTTAAAAATAAACTCATATTTATATATATATTTGATTAACTTATACAATTTTTTTATATTTTGCTTTTAGGTAAGTGTCAACATTTTAAATAATATTTATTATATATTATATGGCGCAACAACAAATTATGAATATCAATTAAGGACCATCAATTGTAAGTAGAATTTTAATTAATTATACCAAAGGATCAGTACCATAAAAGGATAATACCGATTATAATCACATTTAACACTACTTAATGAGAGTGGTGTATAAGTATACCACTAGAATAGTTTGTAAGTAATGTAAAACTAGAAAAAGTTATTATTGCAGGACTTAAATAATGCAGGACTTATTTAAGTCCTGCATTATTTGTTGTGATTTTGAATTTTTATAACTTTAGAAGATATTAATTTCTATTTATAATATAGAAAACTATTCAAAAAACTTATTTTTATTACTAAAAGAAGACTATTGCACATAACCTTCCTTACATATTCTACAATGATAGATAAGTTAACATGGTTGTCTATTTTGTAATTCCAAAATGACTTGTAGTACCACAACATTCTCACAATAGTGCTACTTAAACAATAACTCTTATCTTATTGACTTCATTTACATCATACTATATAAATTATATTTATTTTTTTATAACTGATAACAATTTTTCTATAACTGAGTAATAGAGAACCTATAACTAGAAATAAAGTACAATTAGCACTACATTTAGTCATGTTCTTGTGCTGTTCCCAATAATATATATATTATATTCATCATCCCCATAGGCTTAGTAAACTGTGTTAGGTTATAATCGTATTAAGTGATTTATGTGTCTTACTGTTGCCAACCAGTTATTCCACC